AAATAATTTAAAGTTAAATAATAAATAATAATTAATAAATAATTAATAATAATTAAATAATTTAAAAATTTAACTTAATTTTTAAGTGCTATTCAGATGAACACTCACTGGACTGAAGCAGCTCTGCTTTACTTGATTCTCCATCAATAATTTTCTAGAAAAATCAGTGCGTCTCAAATCTGATCATCGGGATCTTTTGAGGGGCGTTTGTTTCCAGAAGCTTTACTTTCACTGTTCCTCAGCGGAGGAATGATCTTCACAAGCCTCCAGAACATCTCACATCTCATAATAAATAAACAGTACACACACATATATTATGTTAACAAAAACGTTTATTTTGAATGCGATTAATCGTTTGACAGCACTAATATACAGATTAGAACACTCACTGGACTGAAGCAGCTCTGCTTTACTTGATTCTCCATCAATAATTTTCTAGAAAAATCAGTGCGTCTCAAATCTGATCATCGGGATCTTTTGAGGGGCGTTTGTTTCCAGAAGCTTTACTTTCACTGTTCCTCAGCGGAGGAATGATCTTCTCAAGCCTCCAGAGCATCTCACATCTTCTGAGGAACGTTTATTTCTTCAACCCTTAATCATCATTGGACAATGGACTGCATTGCATCATTTAAATATCATCTTACTAAGGCATCTTATTGGAGATACAGAGCGACCACCAATAATATTTTTATAATTTTAAGTATCTGCTATACTGTTATTAAGATCTCATTTGTTTACATTACAAGCATCAGAATTGCATCAGTTTTTGTCCATATCAGCATCTGCACCAAATTGCACAGTTTTACTCAGTTTGGGCCTCTGAATAAAATTCAGGTGTTCATATTCTCACTATATCATACTATACGAGCCATAAAAGCCTGACGTATTAAATATGATCCTCAACAAAACACATGCATGTTTTATATTTTGTCTAAAGGTTCAATAAACTGTTCAGTTTAAAAAAAAAAAAAACATATTTCATACGTCAGGCTTTACAGGGTTAAATAATATTAAACTAAAGCAAACTTCAAAGCTTTGAGCAACACATTAGCTTCTTTATTGATATAACAGGCAGTGCAAAAAGCCAAAATAATTGCTGACTATTGTACATTTGTTTCAGTGGACTATGACCTGATCAGCATGTGTTATATTATTAGTCTAAGAACATCAGAGTTACATGGATATGCAACCAAGCGGGGAAGAGTGGGGCAAGTTGTCACAATAAGAACCTGTCATTAACTAACCTATTATAAGGCAAAAAAAACTATTTTATACAGCAGATGCACACTTTTGGCATCACATATACTAAAGTATAACCCTTGTGACAACTCTCTCAATGCATTTACACTAAAAACAAGTTAAAAGCAAAACAAAAAACAGATTCGGTCTATTTATCTGCATCACAGTTTGATGTTTAAGCAGACAGGAGTGGAAAGATTTGTTCATATCCTATCAGAACAGTGAGGCTGGTGTGTTTGTGATGTGCTCGCTTTGTTCCATCTGCATCGAGGCTGCTGGGACAAGTCACATTCTTGGCAGAGAAACAAATACGCTGCATCTAACTAGGGGCCTCTGTGTTCAATGGCCTATTTAGACGCCAGAGCCGCAGATTATATAGAAAAACACGACTGGCAGCTCTGAATCTGGCCAGTAGCGCTTCAATCCGGGACATCAAATCAGTGTAAAGCATCGAACGCCGGGGATAAAATGCAGAAATGTGTTTTAAAGCGGTTTGAAATCTTGCAGTTGCGATTTAAAACACGAAAGGGTGTTTGTAAAACAAATGTGGAGATATTTCTCTCTCTCTCATCAGCAGCTCGGAGCGACGGTCACACACATATATATAAACAAACCCAAAGAATGCGGAAAATACACTAGCGTTTATTCTACACTCAATTCCGAGCGATCAGAAATCAAAAATGCGAATACATACATGTATATATATGAAGGAAAGGAGTGAAATCCTACCGTTTAACGCGGCTGAGCTGCTCCGATCTAATCCCGACGGTTTAACGTGAGCGCCCACGTCACTTCCGCTTGCTCTGATCTGTGCACCTGCACGTTCTCACTGATACGGGTCCTCCAGGATGCTGAACGCGGAATATCTGACAGAGTGCGCGTATTATTGCGCTCACGCGTTCAATTTAGTTCTGCTCGACTGTCTGCACTGCTTTGGTACTGTGCACGCTGTATTGTCTATTATGGACGGGAAGTCCGATTCATTTGAGCGAACCGGTTCTTTCGAACAGTTCGTTTGAACGAACCGATTCAAATAACCAAATCAGTGATTCTTTTACGTCATCGCGTTGTCCCTGCGTCCCGCAAGTTTATTTTATTAGAAAGATCTGAAGTATTACTTGGAAACAATCAGTGTTGGGGGTAACGCATTACAAGTAACGCGAGTTACGTAATCAGATTACTTTTTTCAAGTAACTTGCAGATTACATTGAAATACGCGACTGACAGCTCTGAATTTGGCTAGTAGCGCTTCAATCCGGGACATTAAATCAGTGTATAACGTCAAACACGGGTATAAAATGCCGAAATGTGCATTAAAGCCGTTTAAAATCTTGTAACTGCGATTTAAAACACGAACCGGTGTTTGTAAAACAATTGTGGAGATATTTCTCCCTCACATCAGCAGCGCGAAGCGATTATCTCCCAAACTTGTCTCTCTCTCTCACACACACACACACACACACA